ATCTATCTATCTATCTATCTATCTATCTATCTATCTATCTATCTATCATCTAGCAATAGCAATAGCACTTCGACTTATATACTGCTTCATAGTGCTTTACAGCCCTCTCTAAGCGGCTTTACAGAGTCAGCCTTTTGCCCCCAACAATCTGGGTCCTCATTTTACCCAACTCAGAAAGATGAAAGACTGAGTCAACCTTGAGCCTGGTGGGATTTGATCTGCCAAATTGTAGACTGCTGGCTGCCAGCAGAAGTGGTTTGCAGTACTGCACTCTAACCACTGCACCACCAAGGCTCTTATCTATCTATCATCTAATGTCTGCATAATTTTACAGGATTGTTTATATATCTACTACTCCATACTTTGCAGGTCTCATCTGTAATCTACTCCATGCTTTGCAGGTCTCACTACTGCTCTTGAGTAAAAGGCCCTACAAATGCTATTTCCTTAACCTTCCAAACATTGTAACCTATGCCAAGCTATGCCAATGGTGCTTTTCAGTTAATAACTCACTTGGTAACTGTTGAGGTAATTTCCCGTTAGGAGAATGAGCGCATACAGGGAGACATATAGAGAGTATTGTTGGAATAATACACACAGAGCACACAGTTACACTGTACAGTAAATGTAGGTTTTTACTTCCAGAAAGGTTTAAGCAAAGTCCAAAATAAGCAGTCCAAAAGTCATTCACAGACAAATCAGTCCGTTTTTCAATCCAGGGATAATCCAAATATCAAATTCCAGTGTCAAAAACAGTTCAGTATCCGACTTACATTAAATCCAGTAATATCAATCAAATGAAGGAACGGCAATATTTTCCAACAGAAGGAAACAGAGACTCAGAAACTGAGTTTTCTGAGACTCAGACTAAAACTAAACAACCCAGGTTTCTGGCTCCATCTTATGGCTGTTTGAGAAACCACACCCAATTGCATGCTCTTGCATTCCTTTAAAGATATAGTACTAAAATGTTTATCCTGGTTTATATATTTCTAACCCAAATATCTGTTAGGTGACTTATATTCCTAACAGTAACCATAGGCAACATGGATCTCATAAGATCAATAAAGATGATGCAGAGTATTCTGACCCCTTTCTGGGTTTTTTTGTGAGGTTGAGGTGGATGGCTCTGCCCATTTCAGGGGACATAAACGAAAATGAAACAGTGAAGGGACCATTTGTTTCTACCAACTTCCTGTTGGTATTGCTCCGAAGTCTATTGCTGTGGGAATTGATGGTTTTGTTTGTTTGTTTGTTCATTCATTTATTTCCTACTTTTATTTTTATAAATAATTTAAGGTGGAGAACCTACCTTCCTGCCTCCTCCTATTTTCCCCACAACAATCCCTCCGTGAGGTGAGTTGAGTTGAGCTGAAAGAGAGTGACTAGGCCAAAGTCACCTAGCTGGCTTTCGCGCCTAAGAAGGAACTAGAACTCGCAATCTCCTGGCGTCTAGTCTGGTGCCTTAACCATTAGATCAAACTTCCTTGCAATATGTTAAGTTCCATTTTGTACCAGGTCAGAGTGGAGACTAAACTATTCTTATTAGGCCCAGCCCAGGTAACCTGCTCAGTTTTAAAGTTAAATTGTAAAGATTAGATCCTGGTCTCAAGAAAAGATTTCTCTGCCCTATCTAACACAGGATCTGGATTACGAGACTCTCGGGAGGCTTTAGAATGTCTGTTGGCTTATTTACAAGGCTGCAAAAGATTATTTTTATCTTATTCATTTTTAAATGAATTATATAGCTGTCCCTGTTGTAACCACAGCCTGGACAGCTCACAAAACAATAACAATTCCACCTCCAACAATCAAATAAAAGCTCAATAAAAACTCAATAAAAACCCCTCATGAATCCTTGGGGTAGCACTCTCTCTCACACACACATACTATCTTGCTCAACATATCCAAAGAAACTCTATTTGTACAGAATAATTTTGAGATTGTTGAATCCAGCCAATACATTAATTTGGCCTTACCCAGTGTGGTACCCTTAGTTGTGCTGGATTGTGTGGTTGTGGTTCTAACTGTTCTGGAGGCTTGGGGCAGCCCCAGTGGTGGGATTAAATTTTTTTAAGCTACCGGTTCTGTGGCTGTGGCTGTGGCTTGGTGGGCGTGGCAGGGAAGGTTACTGCAAAATCTCCATTCCCTCCCCACCCCACTAACCTGCTTTCCAGCTCTGTTCTCCTGTGCAGGGCAACAAAAGAAGACTCAGCCAATCAGCTGGACCTTAGGAGACAGAGAATAGATGTGGGCGGGGCCAGTCAGAGGTGGTATTGGCCGGTTCTCCAAACTATTCACAATTTCTGCTATTGGTTCTCCAGAACTGGTCAGAACCTGCTGAGTAAGACTTCTGGTCAGCCCGCTGTAATGATGACACTTCCCTATCCATAAATCCTTCAAATTTCCTGCAGATCAGAGAATGCTTTTTTTCTTCCTTCATTCTTCCCCTTTCCTTGATAGAGAAATATAATATTATGACCTCCACACACAAAGTTCTCAGTTACTGTCTTCTTAGCAAGTCTTTCCATTCTGTATTATTAATACAGATTAAAATGACCCTCAGTTGCCATCTTGTGCTCATTGAAAAAGAACAAACAATAACACCAGGGGTTGTTTCATCCCTCTTTGTTAACTATCTGGATAACTTCCACAATCCTTTTTGTTGTTGTTGTTGTTGAAAGTTTTATTTGGGTTTTCACAAAAACAAAATATAAATAAAACATCTTTTTTGAAAATAGCATGGTCCCAGGTTATCACTTCTTCATACAGACACCAAACTCAATTTCATGCTCATTTTTATATTCTATTCCATATCTTATTACTGTTTTATATTTTCTACATAGTTTTTCTCCTCTTTTAATTTTCTCAACTTTATTTTAATTATCTCATCTCAATCAAATCATTATATTTATACTTTTGTCTGTCCTGTTTCAATTTCATATTATCTTTTCTTATTAAACAAATTTTTCCCTGTAGTTACCAATTGGAGTATGACACCTTTATATCTTTTAATTTTATCCATTCAAACTCTTATTTAAGCTTCAATGTATACCTTTAAGATTACAGCATTCAATATAATACATAACTTCCAATCGAATTCTGCTTGGTACATTCTTAAAATACACACTATATTTTTAAAAAGAAAAAATTATATATGTGTAAATAAAGCACATATTCCATTCCAATTCAATTCTATCATTAATATTCATTAAAATCTTAACATCTTTAACATTTTTCAATTAAATATCATACTTCCTTGGGAACACTTATAAACTTTCCATAGTTAATTCTTTTTTCCCCATATTTCTCACTTATATTTTTATAAATCATTACTAATAATTAAAAATGTTCCCATTTAATTCTCCCAATCATTTTAATTCATTTATTTATTACATTCATTCATATTTATTACAAACATTCAACTACATTACAGTAAATATTTTATCCATCATTTTAATCATATTTTCTAAAATTATTTCTGTTTATAATATAACAATGCTATCTTATGTACCTTTGCAGAATCCCTTTTGCAATTAAATTTTCACCCATTATCTCTAAACAAGCTTATGGTTACAATCCTTATATCTTTTTCCTGTTTCTCCATTTCTTGTTTCTGTCTTTTACAACTTCTTTTCCTTGCTTTCTTCCCCTCTTCTTCTCCCTCCCCCTTTTACCCCCTCGTCTCTCTACTTCTAACTCTCTCATCTGTAATCCCCTCTTCTGTTGCTTTCTAATATTATACTTATCTTTCAAATTCTTCTTCTTCTTTTTGGTTGTTTTTTCTAGTCTTAAACCTTTCACTCTTTCCCCCCTTTTCTTTCCCCCCGCCACTTAAAATTATTTGATCATTAAAGATGGCTTCTTCTTTGTCCCAATCTTCTTCTTCTGCAAGTGTTTCTTGTTGTTTCTCATAGTTCCAGATCTCCATTTCTAAGAATTGAAATACGAAGCCAAAAGAAC